TGGCCGCATCCCAGTGACCTGGGGTTGGGGAGAAACAAACCACCCAGATCACCCTGGGGTGCTGTTGGTGGGGGCCCAATGGGTGATTTGTGGAACTCCTGGAAACCCCAAAGGCCGCAGCATGGACACAAGAGAAGGAATCACCAAGGTTGCTTGTTTTCTCCATGTACAGGCTAGGGAGGGGTGTTCCTGAGTGCCTTCCAGGAAAGGTTAGAGTTAAAGCCGGGGCGGGGCAGAGGGCGAGGTCACTCCCCCCGGATTCACGTCGCGTCTGGCTCTGGCGTCCTGAGCCTCTCCCGCCCAGGGGCTGGCCTCGGCTGAGGGGCTCGAGGCTGAGCCTGGGCGTCCAGGACCCAGGCAGCTTCTGCTCTTTCTTTGGCCCCACGGTGGGGGCAGCAAGGCTCAGCCCCCAGGGACCAGACGCGGGCTACGGGCAGCGAGGTGCGCAGGGGCGGCGGTGCGGGCATCAGGACTCCAGGGCCGGGAGGCTGCAGGTCTGGGGCCCAAAAAGCCAAAAGTAATCTGAGGACAGAGAACGGAGCGCTTACAGCACAGGCGTTGGGGCACGGGCCCCGCCTCGGGGTCGGATGACAGAGGAAGGGTCTCAAAGGGCCCGGGTGCCACGTTGTCGGGGGTCCAGGCTGCGCAGCCCGTGGGGGCGGCAGGAGCCGCAGACTGGGTCGCGAGCCGCGGCTTCTCCCGGAGGCGGGTCAGGGCTGTGAGCCCCAGCGTGCCTGCAAAGAAGGATGCGGTTTGGATGGGCACATGCCCCTCCCCCCCTCGGCCGCCCCAGGGTCCGGGAGGGCGAGTGAGGTGGCGGCGCGGGGGGGTCTCACATGCTGCTCCTCACAGCGGCGCCAGCAGCACGTAGGCCAGCGCGACTGGCGGCACCACCGAGAGGCCTCCGAGATGTGACCCAGCATGCACCGCGTAGCTCCGTCCTGGAGAGGGGACGAGTGGTGAGGCGGTCTGGAGTACTCGGGCACAGGGGACACAGGCAGGGGTGCGGTGCGGGTCGCCCTAACCTGGCTGGGCACTCCGGGGGTGGTGTGGCCACGGTGGCGTCGGCCTGGGCAGGTGCTGGTGTCTGCCCGACCCAGGCTGCTACGCCGGCTGCTGGCGAGTGGAAGGTGGAGGGTGGAGCCCACCGAGTTACCTGATGCTGTCCTTGTGCCCGTTGAGGGAGCGGCCAGCCGGCCCACAGGACACCACGTGGGGCGGTGGGCAGGGCACAGACAACAGGGCCTAGCCCAGGCAGCGCCATTAGCCGCGGGGCGTGGGGGGCCGTCCCAGTTGGCAGAGAGGGCCGCCCTCACCGCTGCAGGCTCTGCACCCCCACGGCCCGCGCCCCCACGGCCCGCGCCCTCACCCGGCTGCAGGCTCTGCGCGTGGTGCTGGTGCAGCAGGTGGGCACCCCGAGCCCCCACGGCCCCACCCCCACGGCCTGCGCCCTCACCCGGCTGCAGGCTCTGCACCCCCACGGCCCGCGCCCTCACCCGGCTGCAGGCTCTGCGCGCGGTGCTGGTGCAGCAGGTGGGCGGCCCGCGTGGCGTTGCCGGTGCTCAGGTTCCCAGTGGCCGCCACGTCGAAGTTGCAGAAAGGATCGTCCCCACAGAGTTCGGCCGCCTCAAGAGCCAGGCTGGGGCTGAGGGCGGCCTCACCTGGGAAGAGGGGCTCAAAGGTGGGGTCGTGCCTGGGTTGGTACAGGAAGTTGCGCCTCAAGAACCAGGAGTCGTAGGTGAGCAGGGAGGAAGCGTTGTGCACGGCCCCTGGGGAGACAGGCAGGCCTGGCTGGGCATGGGGTCCGAGGGCCCCCGACCCTCCCAGGCCACGCTTTCCCGGCCCACCCTCTGTACCCAGCACAGCCACGGGTCCCTTACAGTCGGCCCCGTACTGGAACAGATCCCGGGGACTGGCGCTTGAGGGCAGGACCTGCCCGCTGCGAAGGGTGAAGTCGTCGGTGGGGTCGCTGTTGAGCGTCCCGAGGAGGCCGCGGGTGTGGGTGAGGAACTTCTCGGGCAGCAGGACGGACACACTCAGGAACGGGCCCTGAATGCCGACCTCCAGGCCAGCCCCCGAAGCCAGCATGACTGAGACCCTGTCCTGGGCAGCCACTGACAGGAACATGCCTGGGCACGGCAGGGTGGGATGGGTCAGGGTCACCCCCCGCCCTGGGCACCATGCCCTGCCCTCCTGCAGCCCCAGGTGCGGGTGGTGGGCACCCATGGGGCACCTGCAGGGGAGGGGCGTCTCTGGGGCCAGCCCCGCTGACTGTGACTCTACCCCCCAGCCCACGCCTGTGGCGGAGCCCCCAGATGTGCCGCCCAAGGTGCCATGCTGCGCAGCAAGGCTGCCCGTGGGGCCTGTCCCCGTGTTGCTGCGGCCGTGTCTGCCTTGGCCCTTCCGATGGTCTCTGTACCCTCAGCGCTGAGAGGCCCACGCCAGGTCCCCCCTGCCAACTGGGATCCATGTCATTTGCTCAGTTCCCTGGGGCAAGGGGGTCCACGTGGAGCTGCCGCATTTCCAAGTGGCGTCCTTAACCGTGCAGGCTGTGTCCTTGCAGTGGCTTTTGAGCAAAGCCGTGGTGCTGTGCAGCCCAGCGGTGAGAGAGCTGCCAGGGCCAGTCCCCTCCGCACGGCTCCTGGGTTCCTCTGGGCCACAGGGAGGACACATCCCACAGTCCCAGCCTGTCACCGGGCCAGTGGGTACACTGGGGACACCCCCATGGGGGTGGCAGCCTGAGTCACGCCTCTGGCTGTGCTCCTGCCACCTCTGGCCTGGGACCACATCTGGCCTGAGATAGCCGTGGGGGAAGGAGCACGATTCACATGCCACCTGGGCTGTGGCGGCCCCTCTCTGAGCCCCCAGAGGCCTCTGTCCTTGCATCTGAGCCCTGGGCTGCACCCAGCTCCGGCCAGGGCTGGGGAGAGGCGTGGAGGCCCAGGGCTGCCCGCTGCCCCCGGCCCCCGGGCGGGAGGGGAAGGAGGCCCTGCCCAGCTGGACCGCTCACCCTTCAGGTCCATCCAGCTCTGCTCGGCAAAGCTGAGCACCTCCTGGTTCAGCAGCACCTCCAGGGCCCCGGCCCTGTGGGCCAGCCGGACCTCCACCACGTCCGAGTCGTCCTCCTGGACGGCCACAGCGGTCAGCCCCGTGCCGCGGGTCTGCGTGCCTGAGGTGGTGGGCACAGAACGGGGCCCGCTTGGCTCCAGCCTCCTGCCTGCGTGACCCAGAGCCGCTCCGAGCCCAGGCGCAGCCTCACCGTTGGGAGTCAGCCCGGGCTGGGCCCGCGCCTGCACTCTCAGGTCGGTCAGCGCCGCCTCCAGCAGCACGTACTCGCCCCGCCCGTTGAACGTGAACTTAGTGCCGTCGAAGGTGATGAAGTGGGGGTCTCCAAAGGCGGAGGCTGGGGTGAGAGCAGGGGGTCAGGGGGGCCCGCCTTGGCCGGGACGGCCGCTGCCTCCCCGGGCGCTCGCTGGCACCCACCCAGGCGCGGGGGCCGGTAGGTGCGGCAGTCGTTCGAGGGCCGGCGCTGCATGTAGCGGGGGCAGGCAGGTGCCCAGAGGCAGCAGTAATAGAAGCTGAGGACGTCGTAGAGCCAGTGGGACATGCCGGGCACGCGGGGCGGCGTGCGGAAAGGGGGTGCACCCCAGTCGTGGCCCCGGTCAGGGGTGCTGCCGCTGCTGGAGTCAGCCGTCAGGAGCTGGGTGCCATCGGCCGTATAGCAGCACTGCTGGCCCGCGCCGTACCGGGGGCTGGGGGCGCCGGCAGGTCAGGGTGGCCTTTGGGAGGGCCCCGGGCCCCAGCCCCCAGCCCAGCCCCCGGCCAGAGCTCACCTGGCCTGCACGGAGCGCACACAGTGCACGGCCCCTGGGTGGTAGGTGCACACGCTGCCCTGCTCTATGTCACAGCCGTAGTCCGTCTGCAGAGCAGCCAGTGGCTGTCACCTGCCGGCCTCGGGTTCTGCCATCCCCTCCATGACGTCAATGCCACGGGGGGCTCAGACCCCAGCCCCACTTCTTAGGGCCTCAGTGGGGGAGGCTGCCCCTCCCCGTCCCCGCCCTGCGGAGCTCACGTGGAAGCGGCCGGAGTCGGCCCGGGCCTGTGCCAGGGTGCAGGGGCAGTCGGGCAGCTCCTCCAGGAAGTCGGGCAGCTGGTCCTCCAGCTGCTCCCAGGCCCCGCACTGAGCGAGGGCCCAGGCCACGGGGTCCTCCCGGAAGTCACTGCCCAGGTGCCAGGCCAGCGCGTGATCGTTGGTCCAGAGCGCCTGCACGTCCCTGTGGCAGCAATCACGCACGAGCTGGGGGCCGGGCCAGGTCACCCCGCCGTCCCCCTCCCCGCCCAGGCTTCCTGGGCAAGCAGGACAGTTGGAAGGCGGTCAGGCCCCAGCCCGTCCTCTGTGCCCTGGCCCTTACTTCTGCCCTGGGTAGTTCCTGCTGTCGGTGATGCGGAGTGCACCCACTTTCCACTCCTGGTGTTTGGGGGACGCAGGTTCCGGGGTGAAGGTGAAGAAGCCAGAGTTGGAGATGTTTGAGGCCAGGGGGTATAGGTATGACCACTTCGCTGTCCACTCCCCGGAGTACGGCCTCCCTGAGGGGGAAGCCTAGTTAGCCCTGGGGCCCCGCCCCGGACCCTGGGGGCAGGAGAGGGGTTGGGCACTGGAGCAGCTGGACAGGTGTGTTCGGATGGGTGGACAGGTGGTCCCCATAGAAGGACCCTTAGGTCCTTAGGTCACCTGGCTTAGGTGACCACCCACCTCCCCCCACACTCCCTGCCCCTGCTCAAGGCTGGGCCCAGGGCCGTACCAGCTGACCAGGGGGCTCAGAGAGGACGAGGTGGGGCAGGCCTCCTCCCAGAGGGCCGGGCCTGGGCCACTGCCCCCCGGCCCCTACCTGCTCTTAACTGATCCTGACCCCCAATCCCTGCCCAGAGGTCTCTTCCCTCTTCACCCCCATTGGGAACCCCTCACCCATCCCCCACACACCCAGGGCCCCCTTCTCCCATCCAAAGCCCCCAAGGCCACCACCGCCCTCGGCTGGCCTCACCCATCTCCTCGTAGCCCCACAGCTCGATAGTGACGGCCTGTGCGGGCAGCGCCGAGGTGTCCCAGGTCAGGCTCAGGTTGCCTGTGGTGCCTTCCGTGCCGTAGTACTGCCAGCGGGTCTCGTTCACCAGGTGGCTCTTCTCTGTTTCTGACACCTTGTTGGGGTGCACTGGGCAGGGGGTGAGGGGCGAGTGAAGGCCTGAGGCATGCAGGGGAGGAGGCCAGGGGGCTCCTGGGGCGGTGGGGGCCTCCCGAGGACGGAGTGTCACAGCAGCTGGGTGGTCTCCCCAGACCCTTGCGGCAGAAAAGGATGTGGATTCCAGACAGATTGCCTGTCCTCTACCGCCCAGGCCTCTGGCCCCCAGCTGGCTGGCCCCCTACCCTGGCCTGCTCAGCTGAGCAGGCGGGCACTGGCCCCGTGGGGACCCCGCAGCTCCCACTCGCTCCGGCTGGCACGTGTGTCTGGGTGCGGGGAGAGCCGACCCGCCCAGGAGCCCGCCCTGTGGCTGGGTGGGCAGCTGCCGAGGGACTGGTTCAGCCAGAGCGGCAGGGTGCGGGCGGGCCAGCTCTTGGTGCATAGATTAGTGCTGGGGAAGTCCCCGAGGGCCAGGCTGAGGGCTCACCTGCCAGCCAGGTGCCCGCGTGAGGGAAGGAGCGGCCATTGTCCAGCGAGACAGTGAAGGGGATGCGGCCGCTCTCGTAGAGCAGGGGTGACACGCAGTGCACCTGCCCGGAGGAGTCTATGTGGCCACGGGTCTGGATGCTCTCTTTAAACCTGTGGGGCAGAGCGGCATGGGGAACCCATCCAGCGGCTGTCCCTGTGCCCTCCCGCCTGTCCTGGGTCTGAGGGGCTCACTCAGCCAGCCAGGGGTCTGGGCCCAGCACGCAGGGGGATGCGGGTGTGGGGACCCTCGGGCCTCCCACCTGCAGATCACGACGCTGTCTGTGGAGCTGTTGAGCTTCTGCACCACGAAGTCCTTGCCGCCCATCAGGGAGCCTGAGTAGGGCGAGATCTCCAAGCAGAAGTCCCGGAAATCCGAGCAGCAGGTGCTGAGGCCGGTGCAGGTCGGGTGGCAGGAGCACGGCCCTTCCGGCTGCCCACAGCGCAGGGAGCAGCTCTCCTGGGCATCTGGGGAAGAGGCCCCGAGCACCTGGCTGGACGGCTGCCCAGGTGCTGGGCCCGTCTCTCTTTCCCTGCAGCTCGTTAGAGGGCAGCGTCCCCAGGAGAACGCTGGCTGGGCCTGGGATGCACACGGCCATCACGTGGACACAGCGGAAAGCCTCGGGGCCGTGGGGACGGGGCGAATCTTAGCACAGATGATCTGGCTAGAATGCAGCGAGGCCTCCGAACACCCAGCCTCTGGGAGCCCCAGGACATGACCGACCCTCAGCCCCCATGTCCTATGTCCCACGTGGCGTGGCGGGGTCCTCAGAGGGCAACAGCTGCCTGAGCCCTTGACCTGGGTGTGGGGACCTCTCTTGACTCCTCGAGGAGTCCGTGGGCGTGAGCAGGGGAGGCCCCTTGTGCTGGCCTGGGCCAGGGTAGGGAATGGTGCCCAGGCTGAATGCGACCCACCTCACTTGCCCGGAGGCTGAAATCGAGAGCCCAGCCCTTGCGGGGAGGAGGCCAGGGGTGCTCCCTTCCTTTCTGGGGAGAAGGACAATTCCAGCAGGGGCCCAGCCTTGGAAAAAGGAGCCGTCCTGTGGGCCGCATTGTCAGAGCTGGCGGGGAGGATGGGCTGGAGGCCTGGCTGCAGTGGGTGCCGCCACCGCGGGATGGCGCCTTCCCCCCAGCCCGTCCCCATCCCCCCAACAAGGCCGTCAAGGGCCAGGCCTTGGCCCCACTTCACTGAGCAACGTGCCTGGCACTCAAGAGCAACAATAAATGTTTATTGGCAAGGATGGGAAAGCTGGCTCACCTGGGGTGTGGGGGAGGAGGCTGGGAGATGCCGCAAGCGAGGTAAGTGGCGGGAGGGTGATGGGAACGGGGCGGGTGGGGTTGGAGGGTGGGAGGCAGCCCAGGGCTGGGGGCCCTGCTCTGGGGCTCTGGAGTTAGGGGCTTCCCCTAGGCACCCACAATCCTAGCTCCCTGTCCTAATCACGCCCTCCATCGGGGCGCAGGGTGCAGGCCGAGGGCTCTGTGGGTCCTCCCTGCTCCCAGCAGGTGTTGGTTGGGTAGGTCCAGACCTTCCATCCCCGCCAGCAGCCCCTTGACCACAGATCCTCAGGCTTTCTTCCCACTGCTCCTAGCGCAGCCACAGATGGCCTGACAGATGGGCAGAGGCTGGGCCCAGAAGGGCATCGGCCCCGGCCCGGCTGCGGCAGGCAGATGGACAGACAGATGGGCAGAGGGCAGGGTATGGGCATACCTGCTGTGGGCCCAGGGCCCCGGCCGGGGGCTGTCGCCAGCAGCAGCAGAGCCCAGGGCAGGAGGGCCGGCTTCATGGTGCGGCCTGTGTCTGCAGCCGCAGCGCAGTGGGTCCGGGAAGCTCCGAGCAGCGGGACAAGCTCACTCCCGGCACCCGGCCCCGCCCGCCCCAGCTCTGTGGCCCCGCCCCGCCCCGCCCCGCCGGTCCCCTCTCAAAGTCCACAGGTGCCTGCGTGGACCAGCAGGGCCCAACATGCCCCGTTAGCACATTCCTGGCCTGCAGGCCTGGGACTGGGGGGCAGGGGGCTGAACCTCGGCCCTGGGACCCTGTGGGAGGACGAGGGGGACAAAGCCCGCAGCTGCAGGACCTTTGGCTGGCGGGAGCGGGTAGTCCAGAGGCTGCAGCTCAGACCCTGGGGCCGACCCCGCCCTGCGCAGGGAGGCGGGGCTCCCGGTGGGGATGGAGGCTGCAGGATGGGCAGGGCAGGGCTGTCCTTGCTGCGGCTGGATTCCAGCCTCAGCCCTGGCATCCACCTCGTATCTCTGGCCCTCACCCTCTCGCAGGGAGGTGGTGCTCCTAATCCCTGCTCTGGCGGAGGCGGTATCTGTTGGGTCAGACTCAGGCTGAGCTCCAGGCCCAGGCAGCTCTGGGGGGGAGGGCTGGGGGAGGGAGGTGTCTGAGACCAGCTGGGGCCCTTAGAGGAGATAGGGCCCATCCCTAGGCTCCAGAGCTGCCTCCACCCCGCACAAGGGAATCAGGAGAGGCACAGCTCTCCAAGCCACACGTGACCCTTGTTGCTGGTGGAGTTTGCATAATCTTTTTAGTGTTCCTCTCCCTGATTGTTGTGCAGATGAGGAAACTGAAGCCCAAGAGGGTCAGGGCCAAAGTCACCAGGAGAGGTGGCAGGCAGGGCACCCACCCACAGTTAGGGTGGATGGTGAGGGCCCTCCCACCTGGGTTGCATATCCAGAGAGGCTTCCCAAAGTGCCCAAAGAGGGCACATCACCAACCGCTCAGGGAGCCGGAGCTGGCCCCCTGGCACGGGCTCATTCCTTAGGCCATCTGGGCTGTCACCTGCCTCAGCTTCTGGGACTGGGCCAGCCCATTGTTCCTGGGTCTGGTTCCCTCTGTAGCCTGGTAGGTGTGGCTGCGGAGAACCACAAGGTGTTGAGTGTTGGGAGTTGGCAGCCACCTACGGTGTTCCCATGGGTTCAGCCCAAGGGGTGCCTCCTGCACCTACAAAGTGGGGGACTTGGAACCTGGGCTCCTGAACTCTCAGAGAGGGCTGCTCCCCTCCCAAAGACATCTGATGAGAAGGCCCCAAGACCTGGGACAGGGTTTCCAGAGGGGACAAAGTCCTGTAAAGGAAAATAAAAATCTCTGGACAATCAATCCCCCAACCCCTTAGGCTAAGGGAAGGTCCAGCCTGGAGGCTGAGTCCGCATAGCCTGCTTCCTGGGAATGGCTGCCCACACTGCCCCCGCAGCCAGACCTCCAGGGAAAGGTACAAGGCCCCAGGCATCTGCAAGGACCGCCCCCACATCTCATTCGTAAGGAAATTCTTTAGTGTCAAGGGTCACTTCTGGTCTGCAAGCTGAGCTCAGCTCCTAGAACTGGTCTGTTCCATTCCACAATAATGCTGACAGGACAGTACCAATCCTTCTGCCACCTGCCGAGGGACATCTACATAATTGATGCTTCCATCACTTCTTCCTCTTCACTCACTCACCTTATGTACAATGTAGATGTCCTGGGCATTCCCTAAAGTCTCACAAGAATGAGACCATCTGCCTCACTGCCCACCCCTCTCCTTTACCTTTCTTTATGCTGTCTCCTTAAATACAGAAGTTCCAGATGCATCTGGGGTTGGAGATCTTTGACTCAGTTACTTATTTTGGGTTACTAGGTGCTCGGGCATCTCCGCAGGTAGGTGCCCTGCATGTGGCCACTGAGGTGTTGAGCCAGGGAGAGCCTGTCCTCTGGCCCCGGTCTGGTGGGGGACTCATCCTAGGGCCAGGGCCTAGGGTGCTGGGGACCAGGGCAGGGGAGGGCCCAGGATGTGGGGCTCTGGGGAGCCTCCTGCGCCTGGAGGAGGAAGGTTGCTGCTTCCCATTTAGGCCTGGGCAGCCCTGCCATGTCTGGAGAGAGGGACGGAAGAGCAGAGGGGCTGGACGTGCAGTCTGGGGGTCTCCACACGCAGGTCCTGCAGGGAGGGGGCCTCAGCTGAGTTAACTGCTGCTGCTCAGCCTCTGAAGGCAAGTTCTGCCAGGACCCATCTGTAAGGTTTTTCGGCAGCGACGAAGAAAAGAAAGAGAGTGGGGGCCAAACCACGTGGCTTTATTATACACTCCTGTACGAGGTTCTGGGGCCCCGAGAGGGGGGGCCCCAGAAGTCACCGTCGTTTAAAGGGGCTGAGGCCTTTTAGACCCTTTGGGCGGGGCTAGGGACTTGTGGCAGGAAGAGCTGGGAATTCTCTATTGTGGCCTTGGGTGGTCGTTGAGAAATAGAGGCTGCAGGTATTTATTTGTGGAATCCAGGAGAGGAAACGTTCTTATCCAGGTGGACTTCCGGGTGTGGTTCCTCTCAGCGGGGCCTGGCAGTTTTGTCCTTGTTGGGTCTGGTCTCGTGAGCCTTTTCTTTTTTGATCTAGGGAAGGGAGGGGGCCACCACCAGCCTTACACTATCTAGGGCCACTGCACCTCTGGTTCCAGACAGCCTGGCTGCGGCCCTGGGCACGTGTCCAGCCCACACGGACCCCTCCATGCTGGGCAGAGGGGCCTGCTCCAGGGGAGTGCCGCTGTGGGGCTCCAGGGGGCAGGCGCTGGCCCAGATTGCTGGGAGCGGGTGACAGTTGTGAAGGTCAGGTTTGGGCCCTGGAGCCTGTGCATCCCCAAACAGATGGGCCTGGAGCCTGGGAGGGCAGGGCCAGCACCACACGGACTTGTTTAATGCCCTGTGGTCACAGTCTGAAAATCCTTAATACTTTTTGAATGAGGGGCCCCACCTGTGCATCCTGCGCCGGGCGTGCAGGCTTCATGTGGCCAGTCCTGTGAGGGCGAGTGTGGGGGGAGGTAAGAACTCTCCCTGCCTGCCCCACCGCCCTTTTCCTCTCCCTGACTCCCCTTCTAGCCTCCCACCACAGGGAGCCCCCACCACAGGGAGCCCCAGGAGCTTTGCAGACGGACACACCGGACACCCCTTTCCGACCTGGCTCCAGCCTCCTCAGAGGAGTCCGCCCTGCCTCTCCCCTCGCCACGCTCAGTGCCCCGGGCCTGCTGGCCTGCTGGCCCTGCCCTAGGGGAGCAGGGGTGTGGAGGCCCGTGGCCCTCCCCAGCCGCTCCTCAGGGGTGAGCAAAGAAGCAAAAACAACTGTTGAATCTTTATTAGAAAAGAAACAAACAAAAAGGGTGTGGGGTGAGCCTGGCCCTGAATGACCCTTTACTGCGACACGGGCGGAGCCTGGTGCATCCTGGCATCGGGTGTGGATGTGGCCAGCCAGGCTGGCTGCAGGCAGGTTTACAAAGTCGACATTTCGTAGAAAAAGATGCTGCTGGCTGTGCAGACTGAGAGCCAGCCACCTTCCCGAGGCTGAGACAGGCTGCTCCGGTCCGGGTGCGCACGGCCCGCCGGGCTGCAGGGAGGCAGCGGGCTGGGCCGGGCCCACATGGGCGTGGCTCCCGAGCGGGCCTCTGGCGTGCCCAGGGTCCAGGCTGAGGGCATTCCGGGCCTGGCCAGCCCGGTGCCGCTGTGGGGCTCCGGCAACCCGCTCAGATGTCCATGTAGTCGTCCTCATCGTCCGTCTCACTCTCCAGCGAGGACTCCTGGCTGGACGTCTCCAGGACCTCCAGGGCTGGCTGGCATAGGCTCTCCTTCCGCACGGTGGCAGCCGACTGGGCAGAAAGGATGGCCGACTGCAGACAGGACAGGGCAGGGCACTGGTCAGGACCCGCCTGAGGCCTCTCCGTACGCTGTGCCCGCCCAGCCCCCACGGCAACCTGCACCCACACCTGTGGCCCCTGCCCCGCACCCGAGGTCACCTTCAGCTTCTGCTTTGTTTCCTCTGAGATGCTGCCTTTGGGAGAGAGCAGGGTTGGGGTGGGTGGCGTGACGGTGATCTCAGGAGGGAACTTGGTGGCGGCCGACGGGATGACCAGCTTTGGCATGTTGGGCAGAAGGCGTGACTTGGCCCGGCTGGGCTCTGCCTTGCCCGAGTGGCCCTCAGGTGGCTGGGCACTCCCACTGCTGGGAACCTTGGAGGTGGTGGCTGTGAGGAAAGACATCGGGGCTGAGCCTCACTCGAAGCCTCCTGGGCGCCCCCATACCTTTCCAGGTTAGGCCTCCCTCAGTGTCCCCTCTGGAAAAGAAAGGGACCAAGAGCACCTGCAGTCTTTTGCATCAGACTGTGGGCGCCTTTCCTAGGATCTGTGTAGTCTGTGCTGACTGGCAGGCTCCCAGGCTTCTGCCCTGGGCCACTGCGTGGCTCAGGCCCTGCAGGGACCCAACTCTGGCTCTGAGTTTTGGGGTGCTAAGACTGTGACCCCACCCAGGAGTACCGTGAACTCTGGGCGCCCAGGGCCTGGGACATAGAGGGCCCTTGAGCCTTCCCAGAGCCTCTGCAGACCGTCAGGCATTGTGCTCACACCAACGGCTACCTCCCTACAACCACCCTAAGACACATGTCCTATTAGTGTCCACATCCCAGGAGGACACTGAGGCCCAGAACTGGCCCCAGGGTGCCCACTTTCCCCGCACGCTCCAGGGGGAGTGAGGGCTGCGTCTCCCCGCGGCCCGGAGGTAGCCGGGCAGTTGCAGGATGCAGTCCTGGGGCCTGGCAGCCTCCAGGGAGCTGCAGAGCTGGGAGGACCCGGATGGCCTGGCTGGTCTCCACATTCCTCTGCAGCCCCATGGCTTTAAAAGGAGCAGGATTTACTCAGAGCCCATGCCTGGCCCCCAGGGGCTGGCGCCAGGTTTGTCATCCTGAGTGGTCTGTAGGAGGCCAGGGCCAGGAGGAGTCCCCAAGGGGCCTGGCTGGTTGGGGCGGCTGGTGGGAACAGGCTGGACCCAGGGCTGGGGC